GAATTGTTTATCGGTTGACTCATTTGATTGACCTAAACACATGTATCATGCAGCAACGAAACGACCTATGCACCGGCATGTAGTCTGGGGCGGTGCGCTGAGCGGAATGGATATTCTCGAGAGTACCTGTCACAGACTGTGAATTCTTGCAGTGAATGCTCATTCACAGAGAGTAAAATTGAACATGTTCAATTCAATTCACAGTAAATTCAACTTGTGGCTAATTAATCTATTCGCAGCAAATAACCTGTCACACAGCTAGTTCTCGCTGCAAGTGGCTAATCACAGCGAGTATTCTCTGTGTGTGACCAACACTTTAGAGCTTAACACTGCAATAACAATTTTTTTTAATTATTAAATAATTGCTAGCCAGATTTAATTTTGGGCCTTACAGTTTTCCTAAATTATCTGTAAACAATATTTATTGCTGGCTATATGAAAAAACTTGATAATCAAGATCTATAGCTCATGTTAAACCCTAATAGCAGGATAACATACTTACTGTCTTTTCAATTTCTCTTAAGTCTGTGTGTTCTCCATATAATGCATCAATCATCTCCTTAGCAGAGTTCTGATACCTTCCTGGGTAGTAGAAGTTAAATGGTATTCGTAAAGCTTTGGCATATGTTGGCCTAGTAATTTCAGTGTAATTTTTTTCATCAACCCACCATGCGTACTGATATGCTGGGTATAGCTTTTCTCTGAGGTACTGCGTAAAAGCACTAGCTTCTGCTGCTTGTTTTGTGTTTAGGTGAACATCTGTGCTGTAATGCTAAGTGTAAAAGGTCATTACTTTTAGACAAAAATATTTAATACACATCACAAGTGTCTTATTTAATACTTATTTAAATAGGCTTATCCAAGCGGTATTTTTACTTACTAATGATTTTAAATGATCCACAACCTCTTCAAAGCTTGTGAGTACTTTACGGCCATCTCTCATGACAGGTAAATGACCTTTTGGTGCAAAATACGGATTGTTAGCTTCATGGACTTTTACAGGAACTCCAATGAATTTCATATAAGTCTGTAATTATTTACAATACAGTAAAAAAATGTTTACCGGCTCATAATACATCTTAGGTTATATTAAATTATTAAATCTGCTTACCAACACTTTAAGACACTCTAAATCTATAGATGCAAGTCCCCACTCACCCCGCCATATATCTAATTCTATGCTAGCCATAATTTAATTAAGGAAATAATTAAAACTTTAAAATATTTAGAGTTGCACAACTTGACATTTTTTATAATAAAATCAAAGAGTATATTTTTTTATAAGTGGCTTTGCGGCTCTGGGTTTTAGCCCTTCTAGCCTGAAGACAATATATAATTATATTTCATAGGACAGTGCTTCACAATAAGTTGATGCGTCACATTGTGCAGCCCTTGGAAAACTTTGACGGTAACTTGAGCCAGCAGATTAGCTGACAGTTGGCGATGGTATATCAAAGTGCCTCAGCAGACAGACACCTTATCTTGAGAATCACATCACCATCAGAGCACTCGTTTCATTACAAAAAATCGCACCACTTTTCCATATCAAACTAGTATTTTACTAGTATTTAAAAAAAAGAATATGACGCATGAACATATTTTGAAGCAGTATACCCTGTATAGGACAGTTACTATACACTTTGCAGTATACTATGAAGGATAATTTTACATTGTAACTTCACGCTCAGGAGAGCTAGAACCCAGAGCCGTAAAACTAGTTATAAAAAAAACATCATATCTGTGGAGCTGGAGTATATAATATACAAAGGAGAGGGTTCTGGTTCGCGTAGTGTATATTTTCTTTGGTTCTGGTGGGAACTTGAACGGCGGCGGTTTGCTGCTCCTCTATTACAGTTTAAGTAATGGTTTGAAGTGAAATTTGATATGTAAAAGTGGTGCGATTTTGTGTAATAAGTGTCTGCGCATGTGAACTATTAGTGGAAACGGTGAAACAAATGCTCTGATGGTGATGTGATTCTTAAAATAAGGTGTCTGTCTGCTAAGGCGCCTTGAGATACCATCGCCAACTGCCAGCTGTCTGCTGACTTAAGTTGCCGTCAAAATTTCCCAAGGGCTGCACAATGTGACGCATCAACATATTGTGAAGCCGTGTTCTATGAAAGATAATAATTATACATTGTATCTTCAGGCTCAAAAGGGCTAGAACCCAGAGCCGTAAAGCCTGTTATAAAAAAATATACAAAGAGAACATAGTTATGAATCCCGGTATTCCCGGAACTGCACCAGAGACCATCACAATTCAAGCGTAAGAGTGGGCGTACATTGCTGAATTGCGTCTGGAAGACGGGTGGTCTTTCGAGTGAATACTGATAACTATTCCTTAGCTTAAACATCTAGAATAAGAAATAGGATAGTCATAGTTAGGCTCTCACATGTATCGGACATGTAGCTTAAAGTTAGAACCCATCACGGATTAATTAAGTAGTATATAAGTAATGTATCGCACATTAATAGTAATAAGTTTAAAATAAAGTCTTTTTAAAAACGTCCTGAGTCAATTTCGAATTTTGACTGGCGCAGCCGGTAGGATTTCGCGTGTAAAGCTTGCTCATATAAGAAGACTCCCAAATCAGTCGTCGTGAAGCAGTCTACGGTGTCGTCTTGCACTTGCGCGAAATCTACGAAATAAATTTTTGTCGAATTCGAATCAGGACATCAATAAAGAAGACTTCTTAGCCTAGGTGGAAGGATGAATGAGTTCGAGTGTACTGTGAGTAAACCTTTTCACGTCCATCTCTGTTCCCATCTATTTTTGCTTGCTAGAATTTTAGTCTTATTTATTTTGATCTTTCCTAAATCGAACAAAATAAATTGCACACAAAATAAAATTGATATTCAATATTTAATTATGAAACAAAATAAGTTTAATAATTAAATATTGAAAATCAATTTTAAATGAATAAAATTTATTAAATTGTGTTATAAAAAATAATAAAAATTACATAATTAAAGAAATAAAAGGATATATTAAAGAAATAAAATTAATAATTATATAAATTGTTATATTAATATTTATTAAAATGGAACAATTACATGTAATACCTACGGATTTACTTTGTCTTATACCTAAGTTTGAAGGATAGGAAGGATTATTAAAATTATTTATTAAGAAAGCTCAATACATATACAGGTCTTTCGCAGACCCTAATAATGCCACACAAGCTTTATATGTATTCCATGCGATAAGCAGCCGATTAACAGGTTGGAACACTCTTAAAGATATTTTAATTCAACATTTTGGCGGTCCGCGTTCGGAAGATTGCATTGCTATCGAGTTAGAACAAATGAAAATTAAATCTGGCGAATCATTTATCGATTTTTGTCATAAGATACAACATATGCGTAGTACCCACAGATTACCCCCTAGGAGGTAATCTATGGTAGTACCTTATTCGCAAAAGTCAATCTAATAAAAGATGATGGAGTAAAAGCAGCTAAAATGATAGTGTATAATAATATGTCACTAAATGTATTTCTTTACAATTATTTATATAAGAATATTGTCGCTTTCTTAATGAGTGCTCATTATAGCATTATAGCTACAGATTAAGTAACATGTTCTTTTGTTTTATAACACGTCCACATTATGTAACAATGTTTTTGATCATTGCAACATATAACAATACTGTACACATTAGAATAACAATGCAATATAATAATGTTATATAACATTGTCGTATGACATTGTCGTTTGTCGTTCTGCCGTACAAGTTATATAACATTTATATCACGTTAACACGTCTTATAACATTCAGACTCCACATTACTGAGACATGTTATATAACAACATTTTATAACATGTTTTGTTATATAATGTGTACGCACCGTAATGTTTGTAGATGAATCTATAAAAAATATTTATAACCAGGCAATTACAAATAACTTTGAGTTTAGTTATATAATCGAATTCTTACCAATATGTTAAAACTAACTGAAATAACAGTTCGTTTTAGTTGGGTTTAAAATCCTCGGATTTGCAATGCTTGCCACAAATATGTTTTAACATGGGAATCTTTACAATTGGTGCATGTGCCAGCTACTTTGCCCATTGCTTGCATCTGAAAAATAATATAAATAAAATTACATTTTTATTGAACACATAGAATCTTAGCAGTCACAACTGATGATGTAGTTTTTAAGTATAATCCGTTTCGGATTGCTATCCCATCGAAATATCAGATTTAGGAAATTGTGTGTTTGTATTTGTGCACACAATCATACACTATTAAAATCTGTCCCACGTAGATGGCTAGTCCAAAAATGTACTCGTTTTAAATACATATTACAATTACAATTGAAATCACCACATGCCTTTTATCATCTAAGGGAAATATTGCTACGAATAGCCTTTTCTTGTGATTATTCAGACAGGTGGCGCTATTTAAGCAGTTAACATAGGCTCCGTATAATATTAGTTTTAAAAATATTATAAACAAACTTTATTGAACTTTACTACAATATAAGTATTAATTCTAACATAATTTAGTATGTCCAGTGTTATCTTACTGTTTGGAGCTAGATTATCAGTGTGAAGTTGATTAAAGTAATCCAGTGAATCAGTGATCTATAAATTGTCTTTGTTTTGAATTTATTGTAATAAGACAGTGTTTTTTAAAGTGAAACGCTAAGGAACGGTATTAACAAACTAAGTCACAGTGCTATCAACGTTTTATTTTTGTTGTAAAGTAAAAAAAACATTAATTTAGTATTAAAGTGACGGTTACAGTAGTTTAAAATGTTAAAAAAATTTTGTACATCTGATTAAATTAACGACATCTATGTGATAATTCATAACCAAAGGAGAGTAACAATTTGTGTATTATTATGCAATCTATTAATTACTTGCAAAATAAGCTACGAACTTATGTTAATAGATCAATTTGATCAATCCTACGATCACCCGTTAGAGGACGCGCTCATTCATCTGATTTTATAGTATTATTTTAATTTTGAAATAAGTCCTAGTTCTATTGTATAAAATGATGTCGTCACCAACCGAGACTTGTGCTGCATGTGCGAAACCTTTACCCAAAAGAGAATATCTACGTTGTTGTAATTGTAAAGAGGTTTATGATATTGAATGTTTAAATATAAGCAGTAAACGCTTCTATTCTTTTTATTCGTTTAATAAAGAGCGTAAAGATAACTGGAAATGCATTTCATGTGTGAGCAAACTTCCGCGTACGAATAATTTGAATACACCAGTGCGTGCTGCTGACTCTGAAATTTCTAGTCCTCCTGCATTGGTTGTCTCACCAGAGAAATCGTATGTGGCAGTCCGCCACAAAAATACTCAGGACAAGAATATTCATGTAGAACAGAGCAGCGTAATGGAGAATATTATGTCAGAATCGCTCGAAGGTACTGCTATGGACTTCAAACTGCTTCTTAGTGAAATGAAGGCCATCCGTGCTGAAATGCGCTTGTTCCATAATTCTATAGCAGATCTCATGACTTCCATTAAGATGCAAAGCAACCGCATTGATTCCATCGAAACCAGGATATCAGCCTTAGAAGACAAATCAAAAGGCTTACAACGCTGTGAAGTTTCGACTTTGGAGGAGACGGTGTCACAGTTGAAGTCTCAAATATTGGAACGTGATCAAGACTTACTATCTAATGATATCCAGATAGCGGGTTTTCCTGAAACGAGTGGTGAAAATACCGCACATATTATCTTGGCTATTGCCAAAAAATTATGCGTGGACATGGATGAGCGCGATGTGGTGTCATCAGGACGTACAGGTTTCATACGCGATAATGGCGAGAGCCCTACAGCTCCGCGGCCACGCCTTTTAGTTGTGCGATTGGCGCGTCGTGCTCAGCATGATGCGCTAATACAGGCGGCCCGCGTACGGCGCAATATCACCACTGAAGGTCTGGGACTGACGGGAATAGCTTGCAGAATTTATGTTAACGAACGTCTTACTAAGCTCAATAGCCGGTTATTTTATAAAGCCCGTGTGGCAGCCAAAAGCAATGGTTGGAAGTATGTATGGTCACGTGACGGAAAGATTTATGTAAGGAAGGAATATGGGAGTGAGCGACATCGTCTTCGGTTGGAAGAGGATTTAGCTAAGGTTTTTGGTGTTGAAGCTGTTGGCTCTAAAACTATGTCACTCGGCGAATAATAGGAATATATTATTTTTAAATATTTTAATACGAACTTCTCACATGAACTTACAATTTTTTTATTTCCTAAATGTTATGATAACATATATTTCATTGTTATATTCAGGCAGATTAGCTATATATAAATTTAAGATATATAAATGTCTTATGATTATTATTTTACTTTTGCTTGCTTCAACACGTTCTGTATTTTATAATGATACAAAGGTTATGTGCTCACAGATTTTTTACTTTAAAATGTTCTATTTATGTGTAAGTAAAAGCATTAAATTATGTTATGCAAACAATGATTTTAAGAAATATGTGATATGTTACAACAGTTTTATGGCCTAATAATATATTGTATAATTTTTTGCCTGTCTACATGGAATTGTCTAAGCATTGTTAATAGAACTTCAATAGATATTCCTTTTATCACGCGTATACGTTATTTTCTGAACTGTTTAGTGTTGTTTTTGAGGGAGGTTGTATTTATTTGCTCTTTTATTATTATTTTTTATGTTTTATTCATATTGAGTTTTGTACTTTTCGCGAGCATTTTATATTGTCTTTTATTAAGTGATAATTTCTATGCCACAATGTGCTTTAAAATATTTTTAAATAAAACTGTTCTAGGAATAGCCTATATACTCGGATATTACAAGACGTTCGTTGGTTTTCATAAATTATTATTGCATTTATCAATGCGTTCATTTGTGGATATGCGACATCTGACTTTACTACAAAAATATTTATTTCATTGCATGTATGTTCAGGTAACATACTCTTTTGTCATACAATTTATTAGTAAAAAAAAATTTTCTCTAGGCTTTCTGAATCCGGGTTCTTTATGTACACGTCATGATGAATTTTTGGTTTCCTTTGATCGTCATGCGGTAGATATTATGGCGATAAATGAAACGTGGTTGAAGCCAGGTGAGGAACTGCGTGCACCTTCCCCTCCAGGATACAAGCTGCGACACAAACCTCGTCCTGCAAGCATCCGAGCACGCGGAGGAGGTGTGGGTTTTTACATTAGAAATGGTATCCATGCTCGCGTCCTGGAACATCCGAGTACGCTCTCTATTGAACAGATGTGGTGAAGTGTTAAAGCTAATGGTTTGAAACTTGCAATAGGTACCGCGTATCGTCCTCCTTGGTTTCACATTGATACTTTTATAAATGATATATCTGATACAGTCAGTTCATTTTCAGCCTATGACTACATTGTATTGTTAGGAGATTTCAATATTAATTTGCTTGCACCTTCAGATCCTAATTCAAAAAAGCTCAATGATTTTCTACTGTGTATGGGTCTGAGGCAGCACGTCACACAAGCGACTCATTTTACTGATCACTCGGAAACTTTACTTGATTTGATTTGCAGTAGCTGTGATGTATTTAATATACAGGTTGACTATGTGCCAGATCTAAGTCATCACACTTTTCTATCTTGTGAGTTGAATGTAAAGAAGCCAAAGCAAGTGTCAACATGTATTACTTATAGACCAATTAAGGATATAAACGTACCAAAATTTAATTCTGATGTTGATGCTGTACTGTGGGAAGAGTTGCTTTGTGATGACGTAAACAGTTCTGTAACGGCTTTTAATTCACAAATACTGTATCTGTTTGATATTCATGCACCAATAAGAACATCTTACATTAAAGGCCATAGCTATCCGTGGATCACACCAACAATTAGGGAAATGATGAAGCTAAGAGATAAAGCTCACGCAAAATGTAAAGGCATTAATTCCAAAGGTGACAAAAAATATTATAAAGATCTGAAGAGTACGATTAATGCTGCAATACTGAGTGAAAAAACAGCCTACTTTCGTTACTTTATTAATAACAATTCAAAAAACACTCAAGTACTTTGGAGAAATATAAAGAAAATTGTGGTAGACTTCAAAAATAAAGATATTGATTTGCCATCAAACTTGAATGATCCTGACATCATAAATCATCAATTTCTACACATACCAGGAAGCAATAGTGTAAATCCTTCAACATTATGCTATTTTGAATCTAACCGTTTCAATTCGTCGGTTTTTACTTTAAAATTAGTGGATGAAAACTTGGTATTAGAAATTATGAAAAATATTACCACAAATGCTATGGGTGTAGGTGGTATTACTAAAGATATGGTTGTCTTTACATTGCCACGGACTTTAAGTGCTATAACCAACATTATTAATACGTCGATACGAACAGGAGTTTTCCCAGACATCTGGAAGGAAGCTGTTATAATTCCAATACCAAAAAATAATCATCCTGTAGAACTAAATCATCTTCGACCTATAAGTATACTACCTTTTTTATCTAAAATCGCTGAAAAGGCTGATTATATGCAATTAATGGAATATCTAAACCAGAACAACATTTTACCTCTAAAACAATCAGGTTTTAGGGCTGAACTAAGCACGGTTACAGCGCTATTGAGTGTTGTCGATGATATTCTAACAGCGCAGGATAAAGGAGAGGCTACAATTTTGACACTGCTGGACTTTTCGCGTGCATTTGACACAATAGATACTACTTTACTTCTGTCGAAGTTGATGTATTATGGTTTTGACTGTAACGCATTAAAGTGGTTTGAAAGTTATTTAAATGGTCGTACACAGCGCGTCAGACTTCGAAATGAAACTGGTACCAACATTTATTCTGTTGCGTCTCCTGTTACTCGTGGCGTTCCACAAGGGTCGATTCTAGGTCCTTTACTGTTTATCCTTTACAGTGCCGATATTACGGGCTGTTTTAAATATTGCCAGTATCATTTATATGCCGACGACCTTCAAGTCTACATATCATTTAGGCCGGATGATACTAATGAGGCAGTTAACAAACTAAATCTGGATTTAAGCATGATCGCTGGGTGGGGGAATAATAATGAACTCATCTTAAATTCAAATAAAACCAAATTCATGATTTTGGGATCAAAGAAATTAATAGAACGAACGAATGCTCATAAGCCTAAAATTGTTGTTGGTGGCAACCATATTGAACAGGTATCCGAAGTTCGTAACTTGGGTATAATTATGGATAATAGACTAAGGTTTGAAAATCATGTTACGCATACAGTAAAAAATTGTTTTTACAGATTAAAAATATTATATAATATTCGGGAATACCTAAGTGAAGAATTGAGAATTCAACTTTGTGAGTCACTAATACTCTCGAAGCTAAATTATGCTGATATTGTCATGGGAGAGTGTTTGCTTGCGCGAACCAAACTCGTAATACAACGAGTACAAAATGCATGCGCTAGGTTCTGTTTTTGAATCCCTCGTAGAGGTCAAGTGACACCGTTTTTAAATCAGAGCAAACTTATTAACATGAAATCTCGTAGATCGGTTCACTACAGTTGTTTACTTTATAAAATATTACAAAATCAACAACCGAAATACTTATATGAGAAGCTGAGTTTCTCGCAACGTTTCTCACGGGAAACTGTTCGCTTGTTGTACCCAAGACACAGAACGGCTGCGTTTCGTGGTAGCTTTCGTTATGCTGCCACAAAGTGTTGGAATAATATACCACCTCCGATCAAGGGCAGCAGAACAGTTCGCACTTTTAAAGTAAAACTAAAAGAATATCTTTTAAATTTGCAAAGTTAGTTCTGTGTCCATGTATTACACCTTTCTTATGAAGGTTCATTGAATGTTTGTATATTATAAAAATACTTGCTAAATTCTCCATTTATTTTATTTTATTTTTGTATCTTATAAAATAATTTAATTGTGTGCCTTGTGCCTTGCATATGTTTTGTTTTTTGTTTTGTTACGGTATTTTTTTGTTTTTGCGTTGGCTTATTATTGTGCCTTTCTTTCCTAAATGTTAACAGTTTTTTTTTTATTATTATTTATAAATTTTATAAGAGTGTATTTTTTATTTTTATGTTGGAGCCTGTGATTGGCTAAGTTTATTTTATTGCACCTATGTCTCTGGCGTTTACTGAAAATCAGCGTTATAGTTATCACTATGTGGTTTCTATAACATTTGTGCTGAGTAGACGCCCTTTTAGTTCCATTCCATTACTTTATTTTGTTATGTTAATTTGTGTTTTTGTTTAGAACTAAATAAATTATATTATTATTATTATAATTATTATTTCCGCTTCTTGCACCATTTAATTGGCATGTTTTATAATGCATATTAATTTTTTTAACAATTCTGTAAATGAGCAACGGCTTCTATAACAAAATGTAAAGCAATATTAATAATATATATTATGTAAAGCTCTTTGCTCTTGCTCAGTTTTGACAATCTTTGATATTTTTAGGTCGTCTGCATAAAGTTCAAATTCAGAGGATTTTATTATATATTTAATATCGTTTATAAAAATAATAAAGAGAACGGGACCAAGGATAGATCCCTGTGGAACACCAGATGTCAGAGTGAAAGTGTTTGAAATAAAACCGTTTACTATTACTTTAATAGTCCTCTTTGAGAGGTATGAGTGAAACCATTTTAGAAGTGAGCGTTCTATGCCAAACTGTGTTTTTAACTTATGCTCGAGGATTAAATGGTCAACTTTGTCAAAGGCTTTACTAAAATCACTGTTTATCACATCATATTCATCACCGTTGCTCATGCTTGTAATCGTTCTTTCAACAAATGTAGTTAGATTCGTTTCAGTTGAACGTTGTTTGAAGAAACCGTGTTGTCGATCAGTGATATATTGTTTTATATGCCAGTTTAAGGTAGGACATATGAGGGACTCAAAGACCTCAGCCAGTACTGGAAGAATGCTGATTGGTCGATAATTTTTAATATCGCATCGATCACCGGATTTAGGTATAGGCACAACAAGAGCTTCTTTCCAGTGAGTTGGAAAATATCCTTCAGAAAGTGACTTATTGTATATGATATATAAGGGTTTAGAGAACTGATTTGCATAATTTTTGAAGAATATAGGAGGTATACTATCACTGCCTGCACTCTTTTTAACGTCCAGGTTTTTTAAGGTAGTCTTAATTTTTTCTTGTGTTATATATTTATATATTATTTAATGACT